AATTCCCCAGCCAGCATGCTGACTAGGGAATTCTGGGAGTTGTAGTCCACACATCTTAAAGTGGCCCAGGCTGAAAAACACTACTCTAAGATGTTCTAGATCACAGTTTTTCCAACTGTGTTTTGTGGAGCCCCAGGCTTTCATGAGAACTTAACAGGTTCTGCGAAATACTAAGTGGAAAACATTTTTTTTTCTATCTTTGCCACTTTATCAGGGGCTCTGGGGATTTTCTGTTTTTAACAGGTCTGAAAAGGTTAGAAAAACCTTGTTCTAGATCATTAGGCAGCAAAGGCAAAGTCTGTGTTTTAGGAACTGAGGAAGTGTCGAACCTTGCTGGAGCGTGGAATTTATCCTCCTGCAATCCGCCCCTTTTTGACCTCTTTTCAGTTTCTCGCCCTTACGGCTGCTAAGGGAAACTCAAAAATATGCACGTGCACCTGATTCAGCTGCAAAAATCAGGGGATTTGGCAGATGAGGCATTGTTTTAAACTGGAGAGGGGCCCTCTTTATTTTTTGTATTCTTCTACCTGGTCTGTAGACCAGTATTTCTCCACTTTAGCAACTTTAAGATGTGTGGACTTCAATTCCCAGAATTCCCCCACCAGCCATGCTGGCGGGGGAATTCTGGGAGTTGAAGTCCACCCCTCTTCAAGTGGCCAAGGTTGAGAAACACATACTGGCTGGGGAATTCTGGGAGTTGAAGTCCACCCCTCTTCAAGTGGCCAAGGTTGAGAAACACATACTGGCTGGGGAATTCTGGGAGTTGAAGTCCACCCCTCTTCAAGTGGCCAAGGTTGAGAAACACATACTGGCTGGGGAATTCTGGGAGTTGAAGTCCACCCCTCTTATTTGCCAAGGTGGAGAAACGCTCCTGTAGACTATAAGATACTGTGATCTTTTTCCTTGCCATCAAAGATGCCAACAGTAGTTGCAGATAAAATGATTTTGCCGATCCTTAAAGGAAGATGAGGCAGAGTGCCAGCTAACTGTAAAATCAAGTGACCGACAGCAGCTTAATCTGTTGTGAATTCTGGTTCCAAATTTGGTTTTCAGCTAGGGATTTCTCTTTTTTTAAGCTTCCGTCGTGAGTCGGTTCGGCTGCAACATCCTTTAACGGGTCTCTTCTCTTCTCAGGGGGACGCTAACATGGCCCAACGGGCAGAACTACGTCGGAGATTTCAAAAAAGGCTTGGAAAATGGGTAATGGGATGCGCCCACCTGGTGAAATGCCAACATCCAAGCGGGCTGCTTTGGGTGGCAGGTTTCTCAGAAGATCTCTCTCAAGTCCCAATGAGCCATGCCCAGATTTGTCATTTTAGTAGATCCAGGCATAAAATCAACCTGACCTTGTGATGGTTTGGCAACTAAGCAAGGTTGGGCCAAATTAGGCCTTGGATGGGAGGCCACCATGAAACCCCGGGGGTGAAGTCAAGGCTAGGAAGCAAAAAATTCCGACTAGATAAAGACAAATCAAACTACCTCTGGATGGTGCCCGGAAAACTGCGTGGATGTATCTCTGAGAGTCAACCTTGTCCTGAAATCTTTTTTCTTAATTATTGCACACTTACATACTGCAAATAAGAAGGAAGAAAGCTACCTGGAAGAGGTGTAATGGTATGTGGGAATGGCCTTGGAAGACGGAGTGAAAAGATGCTACTAAGGGAACGGTCAGATAAGAGAGAGCATAGCCCGCAGCTGCATAATGGATGGAGAAAGAAACTCAGAAAGGACCCTCTCTAGTTTCTCAGGCTGTGAAAGAGACAGCAGGAGATTTGTACTTTCAGACTTGCATGATTGGTGTCAGCCTTCCCAGGTAGACCAGACAGGAAACACGACCAGATGAGTTAATTCTACTTTATTGTAAGGCTACATTGAATGAATCCTGCAAGACTGAAAGTACAAATCTCCCGCTGTCTCTTTTACTGCCTGAGAAGTTAGGAAGAGTCCTTTCTGAGTTTCTTTCTCCCTCCATTATGCAGCTGTGGGCTATGCCCCTCTCTTATCGGATCATTCTCTAGGCAGCTTCTCTTCCCCCCGTCTCCCAAGGTCCTTCCCACAGACCATTACCGAGGGGACCCCTTAAACGTATCTTGTGCTTTGAGCACAAGATGGGAGAGTCATAGAATCATAGGAGGACAGGGTTGGAGGTCTTCTAGTCCAGCCCCCAGCCATGCTTCTGATGCTTGACTTGAGGGCAGGTTATTTTGGCTTCCCCACCTGGGGTGGGGGGAGATTGAGATGCAGATTTTGGGAGTCTTCCCTATTACAAAAGGGCTTCTTCGTTTTCTTATCCTAATTGTGTATGTGTGATCCTACAGATCACTTATGCCATTCCAATTCAACTCAACTCAACTCAACTCAAATTGAATGTTTTTTTTAAAAACCCTCTTCCTGAGAGTGAGAGCGGTTCGAGAGTAGAATGGGATCAGGAAAAGTGATGGGCTCCCTTTCACTGGATGTGTTCAAGCACTGGGGGTGCTTTAATTGGGTGCCTGTAGAAAGAGGATTGGACTAGATCACCTCAAGGGCTTCCTCCAATTCCAAGAGGGTATGATTTCCTGACTAGAGCAGAAGTCAAGACCAGCTTTTCTCACTCATGTCTTTTCTTCTGGGCTTCAGGTTTGGGATCTGCTTGATCCCCTGTGGATCAAAAGACTGCTACAACTGCTACAAATGCCACTGGCGGGAAGGCAGGATGAATGGCTATGGGATTTGCGAGTAAGCCCATCACTGAATCATTGTTTTTGAAAGTTTACCTGTTGTTTTCATTTGGATTAGCTGCTGGTAGAAAGGTTCTAGGCCAAATGAGACCTGGATATTCCACACCTTCCAGTACAATATACAATATATTATAACATTGATTCTGCATAGTCATGACCTCCCAAATCTCTTGGAGTTTCTGTTCAAAAGTCAGTATCCGAAACCTACAATTTTCCTTTCCCCTCCTCCTCATGTTTTCCTTTGTACTGCTCTCAAAGCCTGAAAGGAGGAGGTGCTTGGTTTCATGGAGGGTGTACCCAAGTTCCCCAGGGAAACTTTTTGGTTGGAGGAAAGGACTACACACGGTTTGATCCATAAATAATTCCAAGAAAACTGGATTGCTCTCGGCACGGGATGAATAAAGATTTACTAGCCCACTTCATAAACTGGGTAGCCCTCTCATTGACTAAGGAGGATACCGATAAAATCTGCTGTCCATCGGAAGAGGTCAAAGGGTGTGTTCTTCGTTAAAGCGTGTTTCTTTTCCAGATACGGCAATGAGACGGTCTACAAAGGGTATTTCAAGGACAACCTGCGCCAAGGTTTTGGCGTCTTGGATAGTCCTCCGGCCACTGGTCATCCGTTTAAATACACAGGACACTGGAAAAAGGACAAGAAAGCTGGTTACGGCATCTGGGATGACAAGGAGAGGTGAGCGGGTTGTGTCTCATAAGTAAATAAAATACACCCAGGCTGCAATTAGTTCGAATCATATGATATTCGATTTAGGACGAATTGTAAATTGATACCATGTCACGTTTCGCAGACCCAAAATTCAGCAAATGTGAGGCTAGTGCGTGCGCAGTTGTGGTTGGGGTTTTACACACGGCTCATCTTTGTGTGTGCAAAATGGGGAAAGGAAGATTCCATCAGAGGAAAACAGTAAAGTTTTAAAAAGAAGAGGCTCGGTATTATATTTGAGCAAAAATTTGATGCAATGGAACGACGTGAACACGGTCATAGCAACGCTTAAATAGATGTTGAAATGCCTGAATCTATGGTCATTTTCTCGTTTTTGTTTTTATTTCGCTTTCTGTAACTACTCTGCGACTTCGATAAACATACATTTAAATTATAAGCATATTCTTTTGATCCTTTGCTGTCATATTTCATTAACACACATGTAAAAGTTTATGTTTAAAATGTTTCATTGCCTATTTCGAGCTGGAACCCATTACCCTATTCTTCATAGAAATATCGCTTCAGAGAGTGCAGTTTCGAATAATGCGACCTTCTCATGGGGTTCATTAACTGCACTAATTGAGACCTACCTGGGATTAAAAGAAAATATGCAGGCACCGGATTCACACGAGATGCTAAGCCTTAAATTCTGGTGAACCCAGTACAACTGCTGCAGTCCTACGAGAAGCAAGGCTTGGTCAGATAAACCATATTCTGGCTTTATGCCTGGGCACTGGACCACCCGAGATGCTAGTATTGTGGCCCTAAGCTATTTTCCATCGGGTGTTTGTTAGATCGCTCTGAATAAAGGATGCCACTTAATACATTCACAGAATCATGCTCCCCACGTGGTTGGAAAGGCTGCAGGAAAAAGGGAACTCTCCTACCTTTTTGATGGGAGTGCTCTAAAATAAAAATCTCTGGGGGTAATATGGGAGAGGCAATTATCAGTGTTACCTCCACCTTCGTTGGGGCAGAGGTAAAATGATGTGGTTGTCAACCTGTCGATGCAGTTGAAGGGCTGGGCCCAAAGCCAAGTGGATTACCCTGCAGGGAGCAACCGATCGCAGTGTTTCCATTGTCTTGAAGACAGTCCCATGCCACGTGTGTTGCAAGAATCCTGCTGAGCCTGGCGGGTTGTGCGAGGCCTCCAGCATGAGCTGCCTTGCATCACCCCCTTGGCTGTGACGGTTTCTCCTTGCGCAAGGCTGCTTTCCGATTGCACCGAGGCCTCATTTTTCCCTTTCTTGCTTGCTGGATTTCAGAGGAGAGAGGTACATCGGGATGTGGGAGAACGACCAGAGGCACGGGCCAGGCATTGTGGTGATGCAGTCTGGTGTCTGCTTTCGAAGGACGTTTCACCTGGATAAAATGGTGGTAAGTGAACCTTCACGCCTGTCATGGATTCTTTGCACTTAGCATTTTTGCCCCGTTTACCAGATCCCAGATGCTTCACGTGAGCCAGGAGTTCAAAACATAAACAGGTACAGAATGATCACATGCGCTGCGTGGATTGATCCGATTAGGTTTGAATTCCGTGTAAACCTAAGGGAAAATCAGTTTTTAGTCTGCTACCTGGTTTTTGGAGCAAGGACCCTAGTCTGTCTCTCTGAATTAAAGCCTTTGCCACTTTAATAGGAAATATTCTTCCAACTTCCTTGTAAGGTAGGCCAGTATTATTATTCCTATAGTGGGGCAGAGAAGAGAAGAGACTAGAAGGGGAATAATTGCCAGAAACAAACTTTAGCAGCGAGTGGGGAAGATGAGATTTAAACTCAGTGTATCTGACTTGTTCTTCAGAAATGAGGCAAGTTTCTAGTCCTTATGCTATAAGAATATGCTTGAAAGGCTAGGGGTATTGCCTTTACCATCTCAGAAACCAGAAGTGCTTTCTTCCCACAGCCCACAGTCTTGGCAGCTTAAAGTAATCTCGAGCTGTTCCAGCTATACAGCATTTTGGTTCTGCTCCAACGCTTTGTCGATGACATGGTGGAGGAAATGGGCAGGGGTTGGAGGCTGCCCAGCTCCTATTGACCAGTTTAGGTTGGGAGCAGGCATAGCCCTTCCCCTCCGCTTGCTGGGTAATGCCCTTGGGAGTGTCTGGTTGTGCTGCAGGAGAGCCCAGACACCTGGAGGCTAATGTCAGTCTTGCGAGGTAGTCCAGACAAGAAGCACACCCAGAAGTTCTATCTCTACCTTTATTGTAAGGTTCCATTAACAGAATCTATCAAGTCTGAAAGTCTATCTCCCCCCCTCCCCTTTACAGCCCAAGAAACTAGGGAGGGTCCTTCTGAGACACTTTCCACACTCCCATTCCTTCTGAAGGCTCAGCTACTTCTTATCTGACCATTGCCTAGTCTGCGGCTCTTCCTCTTGTCTCCCAAGGTCATTCTCCCATACCATTACAGGAACAGAGACACCTGTCCCCAAAATGCCTGGTTTTCTATCAGATCTTATCTGGGCTCCAAATAAATGCAGGGTAAGCCCTTGTCTGAAAAAGTGTGAGTCCTGTCTTTTAAACGCAGGTTTTGAAAGAATGTTAGATCTATGTTTAGAAAACAGGACTATGCCTCTCTGCTGTACAGAGGCATCCGTTGTTCCAACCACCCACATACACTTGATTTGGGAGGGGGATTTCTTTTCCCACCAACAGGTGATAATTGGTAGGAGGGGAAACAAAACCAGAGGAATCCACCAACCATTTTCCTTAACTTGTACTGCATTAAAACAATAATAATAGCACCGGTCACTGTCCTCATCACTGTGGCAGGATGGAGGTTGGCAGTTGGCACAGGAGACTTTCTGCCCAGCCCATTTTTCTGCCAACTGAAGGAGTCTTGGCTAGCATGTTGACATGGCTGATTAGCTGTGCCCTTTCCCAAGCTGTAGGATTTGCCTTTTTAGTAGAAGCAACCATGAATATTAGCCACATGCTTTCAATCTGCAAAATTGGAAGTGCTGAAATTAAAATCAGATTTTTATTACAACCTCAACCAACGGTATCTCTCTCTTTTTCTCTCTTGATCTTGAAGGGATCTGGGGTTCTCCTGCTAGAGGATGATTCTGTCTACGAGGGAAATTTCACAAACGACTTGAGTTTTGTTGGAAAGGCAAGTATGGGCACGGGAAACCCGCTGAATCTAACTCCGAGTCTGGAAGACTCAGAAAGCTCAGATTACTTAAAATGCTTTCTTAAGATCAGGCCAGATGAGTCCCTGGATAAGAGACCACAATGAAATCTCAGGTCTATAGACTAATACTGGGAAGTTAATTTTTTTTTTTTTAAAAAAAAGGATTTTCTCTACTGCTTTCAAGAAAATTGCATGGATGTGCCCATGAAATTACCCACTGTAGCTGAAGGAAATACTAGCAATTATTAATAATGAATTAATAATAAACAAGTAATTGACATGAACAATGGATTAAATTGGCAATAAACTAATAATCAATACATTAATACGAACCAGGTGTGTTGGTTACACTGGATGTTGATTGTTGTTTTTATCATCTTCCCAGCTGCTATGCATTTTGTGTGTGTGTGTGTGTTTTTATCATTTTTAATATTGTTAGCAGCCCACGGTCATGTATTTGAGATGAGCAGCTCTATAAATCTATGAAACAAACAAATCAATAAATAATTGCAGGGAAAACTGACTTTTCCAAGTGGTGTCATCCTGGAGGACATATTCACCAACAAACCTAGACACGGATTACAGATGCAAGGGGTTCTGAACACTTCCGGAGATCGGCAGGCTGTCACCAAGGCTGCTTTGTAAGTTGGAAGACAATGGCCTGTTGAGATTCTGGAGAAAAGCATCTGGAAACCCCACTTTTGTTCCCACTGATGTTTTGCCAGGAAAAGCTCCCCCTCAGGACATTTCCCCATGATTGATTGCCAGAGCAATGCCGCCAGAAAATTGCAAGGGAAGACTCTCAGTGGTGATGTCTGGTCCCTTAGCTCTGGGTCTGTGATGGAATGGAATTATGAAGGCCAGGCTCAGAGAGATAAACATTTTCTTAGCTCCCC